TGAGGGACAGTATTCCTTCCAAGGGATTTCAAGGGATCAGGGGCCCTGAGGAATAAAATTGTTTCCAATTCCAAGAGGATAAAGGGCCCTTCCAGAGTAAGGAGCAGAGCACAGACCAGATAGCAAGGGACCACACCTCTTCACAGATGACACCACCTAGGAAGCAAAGGAGTCATACCAAATTCCTTTCATGACACAAATATAGTTTTGATACCTAAACCAGAGAGAGCAAAAGCAGAGAAAGAAAACTATGCAACAATTTCCTTAATGAATATGGAAGGAGATTACAGCAATATATCACAAAGATATGAGCAGGTGGGATCTATACCAGGAATTCAGGTCTGGTTCAAAATTAGGAAAACTTTCAGTATAATGGACCAAATCAATAACAAATCCAACAGAAATCATATGATTACCTTAATAGATGCAGAAAAAGCTACTGACAAAACATAACATTCATTCCTATTAAAAACACTAGAAAGCACTGGAATACATGGAGCTTTCCTTGAAATGAGAAGTAATATCTATCTAAAACCAACAGCAAGCATTATCTGTAACGGGGATAAGCTGGAAGCCTTCCCAATAAGATCGAGGTAAAGCAAAAATGCCCATGATCACCACTATTATTATTCAATACTATACTAGAAATGCTGGCTATAGCAATAAAAGAAGAAAAAAATTGAAGGAATTAGAATAGATAATAGATAATAAATTATTACTTTTTGGAGATAGATGATATGATGGTATAGTTAGAGAAACCTTGAGAATCAACTAAAAAACTAGCTGAAATAATTAACTTCAGCAAAATTTCTGGATATAAAACAAACCCACATAAATCATCAGCATTTCTAGCAACCCAGAAGCAAGAGACAGAAAGAGAAATTCCATTTAAAATAACTGCAGGCAATACAAAACACTGGAGTTTACCCACCAAGACAAACCCAGAAACTATATGAACACAATTACAAAACACTTTTCACAGAAATAAAGTCTATCTACACAATTAGAGAAATATTAATTGCTTATAAGTAGGCAGAGCCAGTATAATAAAAATGACAATCCTACCTAAATTTATTTATTCAGTGTCATACCAAACTACAAAAAAAAAGAAAACTATCTTATAGAGCTAGAAAAATATCAAAATTCATCTAAAATAAAATGTCAAGAATATTAAGAAAATCAATTTTTTAAAAATGTGAAGGAAGGTGGCTTACCAATACCAGATCTCAAATTGTATTATGAAGCAGTAATCATCAAAACAATTTGGTACTGGCTAAGAAATAGTGGAGTGGTAGATCAGTGGAAAAGATTAGGTATACAATACAGAGTATTAAATTAACATAATAATCTAGTCTTTGATAAACCCAAAGATCCAAGCTTTTGGGACAATAACTCACTATTTGGAAGAAAAAAAATTGCTGAGAAAACTGGAAAGCAGTTTGGCAGAGTCTAGGTATAGGCCAACATTTCATACCATACATCAAGTTAAGGTCAAAATGGGTACATACATGATTAGACAGAAAGGGTGATACCATAAGCAAATCAGGAGAGCGTGAAATCGTTTGCCTGTCGGATCTATGGATAAGGGAAGAATTTATGACTAAACAAGAGACAGAGGGCATCGTAGGATATAAAATGGATGAATTTGATTATATTAACTTAAAAAAGGGTTGCAGAAACAAAATCAATTTAGCCAATATTATAAGGAAAACAAAACTGGGGGAAAATTTTTATAGCAAATTTCTCTGATAAAGGCCTTATTTCTCAATAGAGAAATTTCTCCAATAAAGGCCTTATTTCTCAATAGAGAACTGAGCCAAATTTATAGGAACAGATACCATTCCCCTATTGATAAAATGGTCAAAGGATATGAACAGGCAAGTTTCAGATAAAAAAAAAAAATCAAAGCTACCTATGGTCATATGTAAAAATGCTCTAAATCACTATTGATTAGAGAAATGCACATTAAAACAACTCTGAGGTACCACTTCATACTTATCAATTGTCTAATAAGATAAAAAAAATAAGTAACAAATATTGGTGGGGATGTGGAAAAATTGAGACACTAATGCATTACCGGTGGAGTTGTAAACTGATCTAATCATTTTGGAAAACAATTTGGAACTATGTCCAAAAGGCTATCAAACTGTGCAAATCCTTCAACCCTGCAATACCACTACTGTGTCTATATATCAAAGAGATTTTTTAAAAAAGGAAAAGGACCTTTATGTACAAAAATATTTATATCAGCTCTTTTTGTGATGGCAAAGAATTGGAAATTGAACCATCAACTGGAAAATGGCTGAACAAGCTGTGGTATGTGATTGTGTTGGAATACTATTGTTCTATAAGAAATGAGCAAGATGGTTTCAGAAAAACTCAGGAAGACATGCAAAGTAAAGTGAGTAAAACCAGAATTTTGAACACAGTAACAGCAATACAGTATGATCAACTGTGAAACACTTAGCTACTCTGATCAAGACAATGACTCAGGACAATTCCAAAGGACCCATGATGAAAAATGTTATCCACCTTCACAGAGAAAACTAATGGACTCTAAATGCATATTGAAGCATAATTTTTTTAACCTCTCTTTATTTTTATTGTTTTATTTTTTGTGTGTTTTCTTCTGAAACATGGATAATATGGAAATATGTTTTGAATGACTTCATATGTATAATCAATATCAAATTGCCTGCTTTCTCAAAGAGAAGGAAGGGGAAGGAGAGAAAGAATTTGGAACTCAAAATTTTAAAAAATGATTATTTAAAAAATTTACATGTAATTGGGAAATACTTAATAAATAAAAAATTTTTTTAAAAAACAAATGGGAAAGTTAACATGGTGGGGTTAAAACAGGAGAAACACTGACCAAACCAGTTACAGATTTCTTTTCAAGAGTTCCCAAAATTACAGAGTAATTAGATAAATGGATTAGGTCTATGATAATTCATCCAATAAATATTTCTTACTACAGTCAAGAAATTTCACTAAACTATGAAAACCTTCTGCTATCAATTGATAAACAATTATTAAGCATCTACTTCATAGGAGACACAGTGCTAAGTGCTGAGGATATAAAAAGAGACAAAAGATAGTCCCTGATCTCAGGGAACTTACAATCTAACAAGGCAGACAACACGCAAAATATATACATATACAAAGCAAGCTATATAAATAGGAAATAATTAACAGAGGGAAAGCATTATAATTAAGAAGGGCTGGGAAAAGCTTTCCAGTAGAAGGTAGAATTTTAGCTGGGACTTAAAGAAAGCCAGGGAGGTCAGTAGTAAAGTAGAAGAGGGTATGGGGGACAGCTTGGAAAAATGGCCAGACCCAAGATATGGAGCACCTTGTTCAAATAACAGCCAGGAAGGTTCACTGTATCAGAGCACATGTTGGGAAGTAAAGCATAAAAAACATGAAAGGTATGAGGGAGCTAGGTTATGAAGGCTTTGAAAAGCCAAATAGAACATTTTGTATTTGATCCTATAAGCAATAAAGTCCACTGGAGTTTACCAAGCAGGGAATGACATGAAAAAACCTGCATTTTAGGAAAATCACCTTAGTGGCTGAATAGAGAATGGATTAGAGAAGGAGAGGTTTGAGACAAGCAGACCCACCTACTGAAAAAACAATAATAATAATAATAATAATACTGACTACTGCAATAATCCAGGCATGAGGTGATGAGGGCCTGTACCACAGTGGTGGCAATGTCAGAGGACAGAAGGGGGCATATTTGAAGATGGTGCAAAAGTGAAATCAACAAACCTTAGCAACAGCTTGGCTATGGGAAGGGGAAGAGAGGTGTAAGAGATAATGAGGAGTCCAAGATGACTGGGTGAGAATCTAGGTTGCAAGCCTGAGGGACTGAGAGAAGAGTGTTCTCCTCTACAGTAACAAGAAAAGTAGGAGGGGGGAGAAGAAGGAAGTAGGAGGAAAGATGAGTTCTGTTTCAGACATGTTGTTTAAGATATCTACTGGACATCCAATTTGAGATGTCTGAAAGGCAGTTGGAGGTAAAAGATTAGAAATCAGCAGAGACAATGGGACAGGAAAGCTAGATTTTAAAATTAACAGCAAAGAGATTGTAATTAAATCCATATGAGCTATAAAAACCTGAGAGATTGGGCTGAGACAGCCACTGAAAGCTTCTCCAACTTTATATCTATGAGCTACCTACTTTTCCTTGTGAAAGATCACCCTGATACAGATCCATGGGTAATAGGTACTCAGCCATGTGATCTCAACAGAGCAGGAAATGTCATACAATAAACATTAATGTTACAAAAGACCAGCCTGTAGACTGCCAGGAGGAAGATGGTCAAAGACCTCCAGAACCTAGATCATACCACATGTAAAAAAATAAATAAAATAAAATCACTGATTCAGATAACTTCTCAAGTATCCTCCTAGTTAAGGGTATACTGGAGCCAGCTCAGACTGACTCAAAAGATCTAGTTGTTAAATTTTCATTTTGAGCATTTTATACTTCAAAAATCAACAGATGCTACAAATTAAGCCTTGATTTATTTTTTGTTGTTGGTTGTCTAGACTTAAGTGATAGAGAAAATGTTAATAAGGCAGATTAAATTTAAATGTGTCATCATATCCAATTGTTTGTGACCCTGTATGTGGTTTTCTTGGCAAAGACTATAATTCTATCTAAATTATGTAATAAGGACTATAGATTTAGAGTGCAACATAAGGGAAATTTCTAAATCACATCAACCTCATAAAATTTTTTATGTCAGGTTATTCTGTATAAACAAATACACAAAAGAAGTAATGAAAGACAAACTGAACTTCAAACGTGGGTTTAAAAAGTGAGCCCCTGAGGGAGGCTTAAGCACTCCCACAACCACATATTTCATATAATCTGTTTCCTTAACTCCCCTCCCCCCAAGAAAAAATAAAGACCAAAATATCAACAAATTTAGAATTTGCCAGTTTTGTATTTTAGAACAAAAAAATTAAGAGAATGAATTTCTAAGTACCTATTAAATTGACTCGTCCTGGTGCCCGAACATAAAACTCAGGTATGGATCCAAACTTGGAAATGAACATCTCCTTCAGCTTTAGCAGTCTGAAAGGCAAAGTGAAATATCTCAGAATATTTTTGAACTAAGAATAAAAACATATGCATATTTCAACCAGCACTGTGGTACAGTGGAAATAACACTGTTCTTGGAACCAGGAAACCAAAATTCAAACCTAGCCTCTGACACTTATTTGTTGTGTGATTACAGGAAATATCACTTTGACCTCTGTGGACCTCAGTTTCCATGTTTGTAATGAGGGATAATGATACGTGAATTACCTACCTCAGAGGTTTTTGGGGGGGGTGGGGGGAATGTTTTATTAACCTTAAAGCACTCAAAAAATGTTATTAGTGATTCTTCTTTTGAAAAAGAAAAGCAATATCCTCCTGTTATAAATCAACCAAAATTTACTTGGAATTTTCCTCCCTCAGAGCTTTATTTCCCAAAGTCACAAGAAAGCAATTATGAACTATTTTTAAAACAAATAACTTCAGTAGATACTTGCCAGTCATTTCCTCCAAATAGGAAATGGAATGGATAACCTCAAACTACTTTTTGTTGCCAAATCATGTCTGCAAATCAAGGAATATCACAATCTCAAAAGAATCAAAGTTACAAATAATTTAAAGAGTATGATACCTTTTGGGCAGCAACATGTTATCATTGATGCTTTGCTCTTAAGTGTTGTAAAAGATCTGTCTAAATCTGATATAGGAAGGCATATTTAACATGGACTGGAGAGAAGAAACAAAGCAAAGAGAAAGACAACTGTAGCTTTCCATGTAATACTTATCTTTTTTAAATAGCAGAAAAATATAAACATCTGTTCATTTTCTTGATATCCTGATACTTTCATGATACTTTGATACTATGATTTCACTGATATCTGTACTTCTCTCAATGCAGAAGGCATCCTGCTATATCTTTTTACCTGGGATGATTCTTGCTCATCTTTCCATAAATCCTCTGAAGATCTCACACACGCAGGAAGCTCTTTGTTTATTCTTTCAATACCTTGGGAATTATCAATGTACTAAACATCTCATCTTCCATTCTTAGTTTGTAACCATCCCACTTCCTGACTCAAAATTATACTTATGTCTTTCCCCAAAAACATACTCGTACTTCTGACTTCATCTTTTTTGTTAGTGGCACTACCATTCATCCAATCTTCCACGTTCAAAACCTTCATGTTCAAGACTCTTCCTTCTCACTCATCTCATATGAGAGTGGTACAGAGGAAAGGGCTGACTTTGGAATCAGTAGACCAGTGTTTGAATTCTGGCTTTGCAAGTTACAAAAACTTGTGTGACCTCGGACCACTTATTCAGCCTCTCTGGATCTCAGTTACCTCATCAGTATAATGAAGGAGTTGCATACTAGATAAGGAATTTAAAAGGTCGCTTCAAGTTCTAAATCTATAATGTTATATTCAATTAGGCGCCAAGTTGTATACATTCTATTTCCATAATATCTCATCTCCACTATCTCCTTTTCATTCCTTTCAGCACCCCTTATAAAGGCTCTCAGCCTGAAATATTATAATAGTCTCTCGCCAACTTCCAACCCATCCTCCAAATCTCTAACAGACTAAACTTCCTTATGCATAAATGTGGTTACATCATGCTTTTACTCAAAAATATTCACTGGTTCCCCATTATCTATCAATTAAAGTTCACACTCATTTGTGTGGTATTCAAGGTGCTCCACAATTCAGCAGGACTTGGGGATGTTTTGTCTAGAGAAGACTTCTTTGAGAGTGAAGGGAACTGATAATTATCTTCAAGCATTTGAAGGACTATCATGTAGAAGCGAGAATAAATCTAATCCTTTTTAACCTTCAAGACCAGAACTTGAACCAATAGGTTGAAAGTTATATTTTCCTGAAATCTGTCTCCCTAGAAGAAAGAACTTCCTGAACACAAATGGAATGACTAACCTTGGGAAGTAGAAAGTTCCACCTATCAAACAATCAGTCTTCCAGGGGAAGCTAGATGATCATTTATTGATTGGAGAGAATTACTGCTCCAAGTAAGGGTTAGCCAAAATGAACTCTAAAGACCCAACAATATTATTCTAGGATTCAACTTCATTTTTCTTCTCTATTGTTGCATTCTATTTATTCAGTATGTTTCTGCAGCTATAACTCTCCAATAATGCACAATATTTCACGCTTATAATTTGGAAAGTAGCTACACTCTGTACTGGTCACTGGAAACAAACTAGCCTTTAAAATACGCTGCCATCCAAAGTGCCAAAAAGCAGTCTAATGACCTCAATGCACTTTCAGCATGAAAAGAGTTTCCACAAAGGTCCCACTGTTCATGGAGGAATCTGCCAGTATAACTCTTTGAAACAAACTGCTGACTGTGAGGCTCTGAATGCTCTTTTGACTTAAGATCTGTTTGACAGCAGTGCTAGAGACTGAGTTTAAGGAAACAAATTTGTGGGTATAACTACCTTTGAACGAGCATGGATTTCATCTTTGGGCCTAAGGGAAAGGCAGCCCTAGATGCATCTTGCTGTTCTATGAGATAAGGGCCCCAGCACTGAGATTAGGAGATAAGATTTTTTATGGCAGATGTGACCAAAGACAAGATATCTAATCTCTACTTCAATTTTCTCTTCCAAAAATCAGGCTGGCAGATCCTAACATCTCATGGGACTACTAGGAAGCTTTGTTTGAAAAAATTATTACTTCCAGGACCCTGGAGAAGGTTATATCAAAGGAAATAAAATTTTATGTCCCTGCATTTTATTAAGTGCTTTTTCAGTTTATAAATTTTGTTCTCATTCCATAAGCAGAGTGATATTTTTATGTATATTTGTGTTCTCTATATAGCAACTTGCCCCTCTTTTAAAAAGCTAATGTGTTTTCCAATTCTTGATGTGCCCTGCTAAAGTGAGATACACTATTTAGAGGAACATTAAAAAATAATAATAATAGTTAACATTTACATAACACTTTAAGGTTTACAAAGCACTTTACATATGTTAACTCATTTGATTAAAAATTGCTGGATTTAATTTTCTCTTTGTTTCTCCAGCACTAAGCACAATGCCTAAAAATAAACAACAATAACAATTATTATAATACAATAAAGCTAAAATTTATATAGAGCTATGTGCCAAGCACTGTGCTAAGCACTTTTAATTATTATCTCATTTGATTCTCACAACAACTTTGGGGTAGGTATTATTATTATCCTTATTTGATTGATGAGAAACTGAGGCAAACAGGGTTAAGTGACCTGCCTAGGGTCATATAGCTAGCAAGTGTCTGAGGCTATTTGAACTCAGGACTTCCAGCCATCAGCTCGGAGTTCTAACCACTTTGCCACCTAGCTACAAAATAATAAATGGCTATTGTATGAATGCAGTGACATATATGTATACATATATAAGTCACTGGAAAAATGCTGATCTGTTTAGTGAGGAACAGCTAAGAAACTATTGTTCCATTTTTCAGCAATGTGTATTATTTGCATCTATCACATCCATTCTTCTCCAAAAAATTAAAGTATCATAGAATTCTTAGAAATATTTCACATATGCTGAAATGCGCCTATCATATTCCATTTAATTTAAAGAACATTTACTAGGCACTTATGTATAAGGTAGAGACTTCATTAAAAAGATTTATTATTTCATGATATCCTATCACAATACATAAAATGCTAGACCTGGATTTGGGTGCCACCACTGAAATATATTGGCTCAGGGACTCGAATTCACTTAACCCAGAGGTGTGAGCCAAAACCAGATTAAAACGTAACTGGGAAATGTTCAACAAAATAAAAATACATACAACATAGATAATATAAATTTGGGGATTTCAAAGATGATCTGCAGCCCCTAGGAATCCATTCTTTTTTTTTTTTGGCTTTTGTTTTAGGCAATCAAGGTTAAGTGACTTGCCCAGGGTCACATAGCTGGTAAGTATCTAAAGCCAGATTTGAACTCTGTTTCTTCTGACTCCTTGGCCACTGCTCTGGGAATCCATTCTATTTGAGTTTAACATCATGGGAAAAGTGAACTAATAAAATTACCCACCCCAGATGAAGCTCAGACTGACTTTAATAAGTTTACAGTGAGCCTCTTTTGTTTTCATATCCCTTGCGAAATACTTCCTGACAGGTTTGTATAACATATAGACTTTCTCCTTCATAGAAACAGCCCTGCTCCAAGTCATGCTGACTCCATGTGGTTCTGTATGAGCATTTTTGCTGTAAATAACCCCTAGTGAAATACAAGACCAGATGTAGCAGTTAATGTCCTTCAGTGTCTCATTTTCACTTCTTACTGGTATAAAGACTTAGCTGCTAAAGGTGGAAGATGCCAGTAGCTTGGGAAAGTTCTCATCCCTTACGAGCAGATTTCTTTGATTTAGTGAAACTAGCTATACTCAAAGGATAACTCCCTTATTTGTCTCCTATAGCTAAGAATATACACTTTTCTCCAACAAGTATATTATTCATTTTTGCATGTTTAATGAACAACCATCTTTCTTTTCTGTTTCACACAATGATATATTGAATGTTTGGCTTATTCATGCTTCCCTAAAACATGTATACAAGGAACCTCTTGTAGATGCTCTCCACCTTGCTTTCTCCTTGATTCACTCTTAATTGATTCCTTATGGCTATCATCTCAAGAACCCAGATTGATGAGTACTGATCCTCTTGGGTCCCCACAAAAAGTTCCATTATGACACCACTGATAACATAGCAGTGCCACCAGAGAATTCTGGTTGCCGATCTGCATTGTTTGAAGGAATTGCCTATGTTATGAAATCCTTAGCAATAAAAAAAAAAATCCTTCACATATATGAGTGATTAGTGTAGTTTCTCTCCACCACATCCAGCTGGGGAGTATGTGGATTTTACCAAAACGTCCCTCAATGTAGGGAGCCAAGGATCTCAGACTCCCAAATTACTTCTATGGTTCTTGAAAAACCAAGAATTATTATATTTTGCAAAATCAAAGACACCATCTGAGCACCCCACATAATCTTTTTTCCCCCTAGAGGTGAGAGAAGTCCTGCACTTCTCAAGGACTCAGCTTTATCTTAGGTTCTTTCTTTTGCCAGTCAAAGAAAACAAAGAGACATTCCCAAAAAGATAAATGGAGACCCTTGACCAGTAGCTACTACAAGATTGAAATAAATAAAATTTCACTCCTTTCCTAGCAAAAGTAAAAGATACTTACAAGTGCACCATCAACTGTAACTAAGAACATCAAAGTGATCCATTCATTCCCTCTTGCTTTCCAGCAGTAGTAAACGGTTTGTCAATTTCAAGGCAGGGATTCTGGAGTGGGAAGAAATCTAGAAAACTATACACATTTCTATAGTGTTTTAAGACTTATATAGAATCTTGAACTGAAGCAACAAACACTGGGTTCAAATCCTGCCTCTGATACTTAGCTTTTTGGCCATTAAATGCAGGCATTTAACCTGAGGTTCAGATTCTTCATTTGTAAAATGGGGACAATACCTGCTGCACCTGTTTCCCAAGGTTGCTGTGAAATTAAAATGAAATAATGTACATATAACACTTCGCAATTTTAAAGCACTACTAAAACGTCCACTATTATTGTTTTCCACAATACCTCTGCAAGATCAGTTTAAGTTACTCCCTTTTTATAGATGAAGACAAAAGAGGGTACGTAGTTTGTCCTGGAACACATAGCTAGCGAATGCCGGTCCAGTATTAGAATCCATCTTCTGCATAACTCCAGCATTCTAGCTCCTCTACCACTGTCTCTTCCTTCACTCACAAATGCACAGAAAGATGGACTGAGGCACCATGAAACGAACTTGTGTCAGACAAGGAAGAAAGGCTATGCCTCACATTTACAAACTTTATAGCAGCACTTTGAACAACAACTGCTTGGCTTATAAAGTGATCATAGTTTTTCTAAAAAATCGGCTCCAAGAAATAAAATTGACTAATGGAATAGATGGAATGTCAACTAACTAGACTATATGCTCTCCCTAGGGCAAAACCCCTTGTCTTTCTTTGCAACAGATCAGCCAATTTTTATGTAGTATCTCCAATATTTCCTTAATCTAAATGTCCTCCCTTGGGATCATGAAACTGCCCAGGTGAAGCCAGTTTGGACTAGAGCTGTAGTTACTAGTTCCTGCAATGGTTTTTTGATGAAAATAGAATAGACTCCGAATAGCACCAGCAGGACATTTGTAGAGAAATGATACTTTTATCATATATTCAAATGATCCAGTCACCAACCCAGATCAACGCCTTTCCGGGCCCCAGTATATACTCCGAGTTGTCGGGACTAACAATCTGAAAATAAATTTTCTGAAATTAAACTGGTTCTCAGATGACAGACACTGAATTCAATTTTGGGGCCTGCTGGAAATAACTTTAGGTTGGTAGAGCTGCCACGGCCTTCAAGAACCCAGGGTAACTCCACTTCATAACAAGGCATCTGAACTGGGCTTTAGGGAAGGGTATTTTGGCATTCTTCCTGTAAGTGTGAGGGCAGAAAAAGTTGTAACTTCAGGTAGGATGGGCCTACTCATGGTTAACCTACAAAAGGAGAAAAAGGGAGGGTTGGAATAACAGAGAAAACCAGTGTTTCTGCTTCCGAGCACAAGCTCCGACCTCCCTCATCAAGTTTTTTCCCTGGGGTGAAAGGAAAAGAGGAGAGAGAGGGTTGACTGCTGTTCTGTCATCTGGCAGAACAGTGGGGAAACCTTTAATTATTCTACAAGGTCTTGACAGAGAGCAAATGCAGCATTCACGAAGGAAGGAAAGACTGGACAGGGCCACGACCTCAAGTACTGTTAAAAATGCGAGAGCCAGCAGCTCAATGCACAGGATCCCCATTCTCCCACCTGGGATGCTCTGCCACCTGGATCAGACGCGTGCCCGGACCTTCCGCGGCCATTGCTCCTGCTTTCTTCTCTCTTCAGCCTCTGACAGCAGCTGAAAAGCTTCTTCCTTCCGGGCACTATAGGCAGCACTTCGCGGAAGTCCGGCTACTTGGAGTGGGCTAGTTCTGCTGCTTACTGCTCCTCCCCGACCCCTCCTTAGTGTTCCCTCAGCTAGCCCTGCGCCCCCGCCCCCCGCCCTGGTCAGGTGCAGCAATGTAGAGCTAAGCAGACGTTTGCCTCCCGGGAGTCACCGCGTAAAGTACTCGTGGAGCTGACGAAATTCCTCCAGGCACTCACAGGGTGAAGTCTGAATACAATAATCACCTTGTACCACCCCTTCAAACCACAAAACCACACACCTCTGGCCCACTGATTCCAATCTGCACTTCTCCCTTCAGCATTAGTTTCTATTCAAGTAAAATATTGGTTGGTATTGCACAAGCTGGACACTTGCAAATAAATCATTCCACCCAGTTAACAGAAGGGCCCAATAGAACGCAAAGAAAGTTTTGCTTCAAAGCTTAAGGGGGGAAATGACGTCTGTAGTGGTAGTTACGTTGTAAAGTCATTAAAATTTAATATTAAAAAGTCAAAATTTCTCCAAAAGGAAAAAGGTATTGGGCTTAGTACAACACTGTCCCGTCCCTCTCACCTTCCTATTTCCCACCTACGCACACACCCAAATACAAAATCTTGCTGAGAGTGGCCGAGTTCTCATAATCAGTTTTAGCGAGCTACAGTTCAACTTTTTTTTCTCTAAACTGATGTACTCTATTGAGTAAACAGTAAAGTCCTAACATTTCTTTGGACTGCATGGGTATTTGTATATCTGGATAGTGCTTAGATTTATAATTCGTACTGTACTGTTATACTTTCTGAGGAAGACCATGTGAATATATAGTTCTGATCTGAAGTCAATTTCAGGAGAGTAATGCACCAGCTTACTATTTTGGGGGGAAATATGCCAACTGGTAAAACAAAATTGGACTCACAAAACTCAGAAAGTATGGCATCTTTGCTGTGTGGGAATGGAAGCAAGTGGGAACTGCAAATACTTTGCTTTTAAGTTACAGTAACGCTGCTAAAATTATGTTTCTCAAACTTACCCAAAATAGAGGCATTACTAACAAGGGATAGTCATAATTTTAAAAAAAAAGTTAAATGATTAAAAATTCTACCAAGAATATTTACTCACATGCTTGTAAACTCTTTCCCACCCATTTCCCAATTTTGAAGAAAAAATGTTAATTTTTTTCTCCAAAAAGTTACATTTTTAGGTAATTTATGTGGTGGTCAGAAGTAATAAAGATACTATGAAGGCTTAGTAAAAGTAGTTAGATAGGAAAGACTATTTCTTGGAAAGAAAGCAAGTTAAAGGACTGTTCACACCTTTTAAACTACTCTTAATGAATTTTCAAAGGCCAGAGTTGGGGGATGAATGGGGTAAAATTCGAAATTCAGGATGCTATTTTCGCATCTCTCCTTAACAATTTACCTGCAAAATTCCCTCCTCCCTGTCTTACTTCAACACCTTCGCTAAAAAAGAGAAATTATGTAAATGATTTGGAGTCAGTCAATAAACATTAAGAGGTAATTGTGGGCCTGCCCACTGTGCTTAGTATTGGAGATTAAACAACAAAGTGTCACAGTCCCTACCCCTAAGGAGTTTATATTCTACTGGTGGATACATGTTTACATAAAAGTAAATACAGGATATATACAAAATAAATACATAATGATAGGGGAGGGGAAAAGCTAATAACTGGGGCAATCAGGAAAGCCATCTTGAAGGAAAAGGAACTTGAACTAAGCCTTGACAGGATCTCAGGTTTCCAAAAAGATGGAAAGGAGGAAAGGGTGGGGAAAGGAGGAAAAAGGAAAGCATTCCAGGTTAGTGGACTAGAAGGGGAGGGCAGCCTGTGCACAGGCCCTGAGAAGAAAATAGAATGTGCAGGAAACAGCAAGCAAGCAGAGTCGGTGAGGAGTCATGTGTAATCAGCTTGGAAATAAGGGTGAATCTGGGCTCTGAAGGGAGGATAAATACCGTGTCGAAGGGTTGGCATTTTAATGTAAAGGCAATAGGGAGCCTCTGAAGCTTCTTTAGCAGAGAAACAATATGGTCAGGCCTGAATTTAGGATCAGAGTCATAGATACAGTGCTGAAAGGACCTCAGAGACCTCATTTTATATGTAATACCTCCCTCAAGGAATTTGCAGTCCAGTATGGGAACTAGCTATCTACAAAAACCACCATTTTTTTTGGACGTGTTCAATGCTGAAATTTGTTCCATTTTTATAATGGTTTTCTCTTTCTTTCTTAACTGGCTTGGTGAGAGGGGTGAAGAAAGGAAAGTGAGAAGGAATAGAAAGCTGATTTTCATTTATTGTAAAAACAAAATATTAATTTTTAAAAATCTGATATTTAACATTACAAAATGCAGTTGCAAGAAATGTTGATTTTTCCACTTTAAAAATTCTACTTTCCAAACTAGACTATTTGCTGTATGTAGTATTCCATCTCGTGCTTCCATTCCTTTTACCATGACTAGAACACACTCTTTCCTCACTTCTACCCTTTTGAATCTTTAGCTCCCTTCAAGTATCACCTCCTACATAGGCTTTCCACGATCCTCAGTTATTAGTGCTGTCACTCAGAAAAATTACTTTGTATTTTTTTTTTTTTGCAATTACTAATCTGTGTTTCTCCAACCTCTCCTCCTAGTAGAATATAAACTCCTTGAGGGCAAAGATGGTTTTAATTTTTTTTTCTGGTCTCGCCATACCTAGTACAGTATATTGCACTCAGCTGGCACTTAATAAATGCTTTTTTAAATTGAATTTAAATAAATGCTATGCAAAGTCCAAAGGAAAGGTTACTATTAATTATTACAAAGGGAAGGAGCTTGAGACACAGTCTAAGGACAAAAGGCAGAAAAAGCAGGGGCCTTGAGCGGGAGGCAAGTGTGGATGGTGGTGGGGTCCCAGAGCAGAATCAAAGGATTTAATCCTGGATGGGGCCTTAGAAATGATCTAGTCAGGGCTTTTTAACCTTTTTGTGGGTCATAAACCCCTTTAGCAGTCAAGTGAAGCCTATAAACCTTTTCTCAGAATGTGTACACAAAGGATTTCAAAGGAAAGCAATTATTTTAAATAAAATTATTAAAAAAAAGTAAATGTCACGGACCCCAGACTAAAACCCTCTGATTGTCTAACCCAGTGGTGCCAAACTCGAAAAGAAAGGGGTGCCACTAAATCCTACACCAGGATGCCTTCAGGTCACATACTGATTTAGAAAAACCTTGTGTTAACATTATCTATGTTCTATTGCATTCTTATTTATTTTGTTAAATATCTCCCAAATACATTTTAATCTGGTTCTAGAGCTTCTCACAGGACAGTAGCAGAGGGCACGTGCCTCACTGGGCTGCATGTTAGATATGCATGGTCTCACATCTTTATTTAACAAATAGGAAAACAGAGGCTAAGTGAATGCTTAAGCAGTAGCCAACTTCTGAAAGCTTTCAGACAGTACTTGTTAAACGAATAAGATTATCAGGAGATTACAATGTGGGGTGGTGGTTAGAAAGCCTACTTCTACTGGGAAGATCTGCATGCAAATCATAGGATTTAAAGCTAGAAGATTTCGAACTAGTAGGGGATTTAAAGACCAAAGTCCAATGCCCTTGAGGATGGGATCTAGACGCCAAAAAGGAAAAACCCTGGACTTTTCCACTTGGCCAATGCCAGAGATGCCATTCGCCTGAGGCTATAATCCCATCAACTAGTTTTTCATTGTGGCTACACCCAATCTCCCAATTCTGTTACCTTTAACCTAGCTTAGCCCTACATTTTCTTAGCTCCTTAAGGGCCCCAGCCATTTCCCTCCCTTAATACCAGCTAGGTTTAATTCTCCTGTGGCCACGTGGTGCAAGTCTCAGGTGTTCTGTTCACCCCAGCTTACTGGCCACTCCCATCCAGATCCTCCTTAGACCCCTCCTCCAGTCACCCCAAACTACTTGCCTACCTCTAGATCCTTCCCAGTCTTTCTGTATATAAGGAGCATTTATTATGTCTCTATTAAGGTGTTCAGATTCTTAAAATCTAGCCAATAGCTCACAGATGCTCAGATTCCTTAAAAGTCTGGCCAATATGGTGGATGTTCTAATAAACCTTGTCTTTGCTGAAAGAAGGGTTGGATCAGTGTCTCTTGCTCTCGATATTTTGAGGTCCTAGCACCCCTAAACCCCCAAACCTCAACACCCTCATTTTACAGATAAAGGAACCGAGACCCAGAGAGGGGAAGTGACTTGCTTAGAATCACACAGTTAGTATTTTATGATTCTGGATCTAACTGAGATGTTGTTCAGTCATTTCACTCCCATCCGACTCTGTGACCCCATTCTTGGCAAAGATACTGGAGAAGTTTGCCATTTCCTTCTCACCTCATTTTACGGATGAAGTAACTGAGGCAAACGGGGTTAAGTGACTTGCCCAGGGTCACACAACTAGGAAGTATCTGAGGCAGGATTTGAACTCAGGAAGATGAGTCTTTCTGATTCCAGGCCCAGTGCTCTATTCACTGGGCCAGATCTCTCTTAACTCCAAATCCATTGCCCTATCTACTACACCACCTACTGATTCTATGACTCTTTTATAATCTGACTCCAAACTAAATTTCTGGCCTAATTACACATTACTCCCCATCATGCACTCTTCTTTCCAGCTAAACTGGCCTATATGCTCTTCTTCATAAACTGAAATTATATCTTTGGTCTCCATGCCTCTGCACAGCCTGTTGCTGCATGGCCTAGAATGCCCTCTCTTCTTACTTTTGCTTCTTAGAATCCCTACCTTCCTTCCAAAGCTCAGTTCAAGAACTACCTACTACACTAGACATTTACAGATCTCCACAGATGCTAGTGTCTACCCCTACCTACCAAATTATCTTGTAATCAGTTAACCAATCAATTTATTTATTAGGTGCCTACTATGTGCCAAGCACTGTGCTAAGGCTGGGGATACAAAGAAAGACAAAAAACAGTCCCTGCTCTCAGGAGTTTACAACCTAATGAGAGAGAGAGACAACGTGCAAATAATTACATACAAACAAGATATATATACAAGATAAAATGGAGATAATCAACCGACCAAAGGTACTTGCATTAAAGAGGATGAAGAAAGGCTTCTCGGCAAGGTAGGCCTTAAGGAAGGCAGATAATCGAGGGGGCAGAGATGAAGAGGGATAGAGTTCCAGGCCTGGAAGACAGTCAGTGATTTTATATTTGATCCTGTAGGCAAAGGGAGTCATTGCAGTTGATTAAATAAAAGGGAAGGAGAGGTGAGGGTGAGGGGGTGACAGTCAGACCGTAGCTTTAGAAAAATCAATTTGATTGCTGAGGAGATGGACTTCGAGTGGGGAGATACTTGAGGAAGGGTGACCAACCGGAACGCTATTGCAATAGTCCAGGCAGGAGGTGATAAAGGCTTGCACCAGGGTGGTGGCAATGTCAGAGAATACAAGGGGACATATAGAAGAGAAGTTACAAAGGTAGAAATGACAGGACTTGACAAGCGTTTCCAGAATGAGGAGTTGAGGATGGCACAGAGATTGTAAGCTCAGATGCCTGGGAGGGTACCTCCACAGTAATGGGGAAATCAGGAAGTGGAAAAGGTTTGGGGGAAAGATGAGTTCAGTTTTGGACATGCTGAGAATAAAACGTCTAAGAGACATCAAGTTCCAGTTATATCAAGGTGTCCCAAAAAGCTACTAAAGCTTAAAGTGGGCGCTAAGACTTTTTTTGGGACGCCTTGTATTTTATATTCAGATATGTGTGCGCGCCGTTCCCCACGAGAGGATGTAAGCGCATGGTGTCATAAGAGATAGACAGATCTATAGATATTATCCATAAACATACACACACACACATATATATAAAATCTCCGCACCCCCAAAGTTAGCACCGTGTACCTGGCACAAAGTAGACGAAGAATAAATACCGTTTCATTCCTTGATTAACAACCTTTCAGTGCGCCTAGGCAATTCTCAGAAAAGGTAAATTACAGAATAATTTGTTAGGTATGGGGTGTTTTCTAACCAAGAGTGTCCAAGTCTACGCCAAAGAAATTGTAGGTGCCAACAAAATAACAACGACCTGTTCTTAAATACCATAAGCACACTGACTTAGAAGGTATCTGCTTTTCAAAAAGATTTTTTCTTCAGGACTACCAGGTAAACTCTTCCAAGAATCGGGGAAGCCGGGAGACACGAGGGGCTGAGAGGTCTCATGTCCAAGGCCTTGCTTCTCCTTTACTTTCAGCAGCCTAAGAGAGTGTCCCCAACCTCCGAGGCAATGAAGGGCAGAGGCTTTTCCCTCGTCTCAAAGCTGGAGCCGGCTCAGGCAGCGTGTCAAGTTTCCAAACGCTCTCCCAGGGCTTCCGCAGCCCGGGCTTCCGCAGCTCTGGCTTCCGGCCGCCAGATCGCACGGTTGCTAGGCTCAGTTGCTAGGGTAAGTTGCTAAGGCACCAACAGCCTCGCAGGAAGGGCAGGCAGCGGAGCTGCGCGCTGCCTTTCACTGTCGTACCGGATCCCCTCAGCTCTAAGCACGTCCGTTCCACACGGAAACGTCCCTCTCCTTGCCTGGGCGAAAAGGAGGGCGGCGCGGAGGAAGAAGGGGGTGACTCCGCTCCGCGCGGAGGATTGTGGGAGGAGGTTGTCTCCAGTTTCTCCTCCCCCCCTTTCCCTTCCCCCCCTCCCGGCCAAGATGTCTGACATGGAGGATGATTTCATGTGCGATGATGAGGAGGACTACGACCTGGTGAGGCGCAGGGGACGGGTACCCGGGGCTGGAGGCAGCGCTTGGCTCCCGGGGCGGGAGCGGCCGGGGGCCGCGGCCTCGCCCCCTCAGAGCGCGTCCCCCTTCCAGGCTCTCCGGATGCAGTGACAGGACGAGTTTACCTCCTCCGCCCCCTCCCCGCATCCGGCGCTGGCCCGACTTCCCCGGCCGGCGGGAGGAAGGAGGACGGACGAGGGCCGAGAGGGATGGGGCGCCCGGCGCTGAGGGGCTGCCGGGGGTGGGACGGCCTGCGCCCCCGGCCCTCGCCCGGCCGGGCCTGCCAACTCCGGCCGGGCCGGGCCGGGCCGGGCCGCGCTCCGCCCGCTCCCGCGCGCCTGCCCGAGCCGCCTCGGGGACGGCGCGGCCGCCTAGGCCCGAGCGTTGCCCTTTCAGGCCCGGCCCGGCCCGGCCTGGCCCGGCCTGGGCCCCTCCGCTCCCCTCCCCCCCCCGGGACTCGCGGGTGGAGGGGACTGGGCAGCGTCCGCCAGGCCAAACCGCGGGGGCCGCTTGGGGCATCTTCTCTGGGAAGAGTTGGATCTTTTAGGGTCAGGCTGAATTTGGGGGAGAGGTCAGAAGATCGATCCTCTCTCTCCCCTCGACCCCGTAAACGGGGGAAATGGATTTACGGAATCCTTCTTTCTCTCACCTTGGATGAAGAGAAGCAGGGAATGTTTTGTTTTTATTTACAAATTGGAAAAAAAAAATCATCGGTCGTATTTTTTTCTCCCCTGAGTATTCCCAGGATTCTTAGTAAAAAGTATCTCCGGGGCAGAAAATCTTGAGTTCACCCAGTTGAATTCTTATAATAACTAGGAAAGATTGAAGAAATAATTTGGGAAAGGTCTGAAATATGAAGTAGAACTTAGTATAGTTTTAATACAGTTTACTGTATAAAAGAAAATCAGATTTGGGCAATAAAGAGAAGGAGTTGGAATCCGAAACCTGGGCTATTTTGCTGTTGATGTTTATTACTTGTATGAAGCTTGTTGCACTTTGTTTTCTTAGGTGTTGCTTCACCCTTGTTTTATAATTGTGAAGTTCTTTAGCATGGTACCTGGGACATAGTAGGCTCCTAATAAATGCTTATGACGTGATTACCCACTTGTGTGATTGTACAGGATTTCTTTTTTTGCCCACCATATGTGTAAAGTGCAATGGGTATTTACGATCTTAATAAAATATTATAAATTAACTAATGGTTTTCTGTATGGAGATAAAACCTATTTGAAATCAGTATCTTACATTTTTTGAAGGAGCACTTGTGTCAGGGATATGGGACTGCTATGAATGTGGGTTTGTGAAGTCTTTAAAAGTTATATTTTACTAAGTTTGTAGATGTGCTGATACTTGGGTAAACGTGTGCATTGTTTAGTATGTATTTGAAAATATGTAATTGGAAAATTATAGATTTGAAACCAGAAGGGACCTTTTAGACCGTATAGTTCAATGTTCTCATTTTACTGATGAGGAAACCAAGACCACCCAGGAAAGTAATTTGATCAAGGTCACACAGAGACAAGGTTTGAACCTAGATTCTCTAACTCTAAATCGCTTAATAGTACTATACTCCTTCCATCATTGTAGGAAAGCTACTTGCATATTAGTTTAAAAAAAATTAATGAAAGTAAAATCAGTTCCCTAAGAATTTGTTGTTAGTTCTTTAAATTTAGCTACTTTTTTCTTAGTGGAGGGAGGATGGGGATCTTTACTTTTTATCAGATCTTTTCCTTAGCTATTTAGAACAAGAGTTCTTACGGCCTTTTTCATGTAGACTCCTTTGGCAATTTGATGAAATTTGTGTACCTCTTCTCTTTTCACAATTGGAAGAAATTCTAAATTTCAATTAGAAGTTAATGAAAATTAAAATGTAATTTTTTCCCCCATCTAATAAGTTCATGGACCCCTAGTTTAAAAAGCCTGATCTGAAGTGTTTCTCAAATGGTTGCTTGCTTCTGTTTATTCTCTTCTACCTACCTAAAAACGATTTAGAAATAAAAGTTTTTATTCTAGTTCATGGCTCATAATTCTATGGTTAACTTACAGTTAGTTTGAGAATTTGTATAACAATGATGAGATTATTTTTATTGCCTCTTTAAGTGGCCAAGTCATTTTCAGCAACAGTTTTGATTAAACATATGATACTTGAACTTTACTGCATTTTTTCCACTTTGAAACAGAGATTAAAACTAGAATGCAAAATATAACAACATTAAATATGTAACTCTGATTTGGGGGGTAAAATTTCAGAATTAAATAGTTTTCTTAACTAATCCTGTATAATGAAATGGAATGCCTTTTTTTTCCATTTTTTCAGTCAACAAGTATTTAATTAACATCTACTATGTGCCAGGAACTGTGCTAAGCACTGTGGATATAAAGATAAAAATATAAAGCGCCTGCCCTCTAGGAGCTTATATTCTTAAGGTAGAGGCAATATACATACACACATATTTATATATTGTTATTCAGTCATGTCTGATTCTTCATGATCTCTTTTGGAATTTTCATGGCAAAGATACTGGAGTTACTTGCCATTTCCTTCTCCAGCTCATTTTACAGATGAGGAAACTCAGGCAAACAGGATTAAGTGACTTGCCCAGGATCCCGTAGCTAGGAAGTATCTGAGGCCAGATTTGAAATCAGGAAGATTTCTTCCTGACTCTCGGCCCAGCACTCTATCCACTGCGCCCATATTTTTTTATATACAGAATATATGCAAAATGAATCCTAACTAGTTTTGGAAGGGAGTTAAACTGCCAACTTTGGTGCATCAGAAAAGGCTCCTTGTTGAAGGTGGCACTTGAGCTGAGTATTGAAAGAAACCACCAGCAATTCTAAGAAGTGGAAGTGAGGAGGGACATTCAAGGAATGGTCAGTCCAAAGGCACAAGAGACTAGGGATGGAACCCCTGTGTATGTGGAACAGCAAACAGGCCAGTATGAGTGAACTGGAGAATGTGTGGAGGGTGTTAGTGTGTAGAGACAGTAAAAGTAGAGAGGGGCAAAGTTGTGAAGAGCTTTAAGTGCCAAACAAAAGTTTGTAATCCTTTAGGTAATCAGGAGCCATTGGACTTGGCATACTTGGCACTTGAAGACATAGCAGTGCCATAATGAATCCTGCATTTTAGGAAAGTCATTTGTGCATCTATGTGGAGGATGTCTTAGAGTGAGGAGAGGTTTGAGATAGAGAAACTAAATAAGAGTCTATTGCATTAGTCCAGGAGAAAGAGTAAGAAAGTAAAATTGACAAGACTTGGCGACTAAGTGGATATGTGAGAGATGAGGTGATGTAAATACAAGACTTGGTAACTGATTGTATACATGAGATGAATCAAAGGGTTTCCCTATTTTTATTTAGAGCAGAAGCAGCTCTCATACTCCAGGTACTATGTTTTATTTAGTCACTTTTGTTGAGTTATTCCATCTATAGCTTTTTCTTTCCATACACACACACACAGACACACACACACATTCTTACAGATCTAGAGAATATAGTGTCATGTAATAATATCTGAAAAAATAGGATCTGTGTTTATCTGAAACTATTTCATTATATCATTTATGAAAGTAATCATCAGCCTATATACCCAAGGTCTAAAAGGAATGAAGACAACTTTAATTAAAAAAAAAAAATAGGCAGCAATCCTAAAAGAAATTCTGTATATTTTATCTCTCCTTTCTAGTATGTTCTTATTTGATTTTCCTGGGGGCGTGGTATTTGTTGTCAGCTGACATGTGTTTTCTTTGCCTCATGATACAAGGAGAAGCAACAGGAGGAAGGGAAAGAAAGGGGGATTAATAAATGCGCTTTAGGTTAGTGCAAACTTTGCAGATCTATAGCTATGTTCCATATTTACAACTCTCAATATTTATTACAAAGTTAATTTATAATATTTCTTTTAATTAAAATAATACCATTGGTGAGTTACCTATGCTGAAATTTGATTACAAGCTATCATGATTTAATGAAGTTGCCAGGTATTTCCAATACTAAACTATGAAAAGGATTCAGTACAGCTCTGTACTGTACCAAATGTCATACTGTAGTGAATCATATAATAAGGTTCTAATGTTTTAGCGCAGTACCTGTGAATCATAAGCATTTAAATGTTGAGCATAGTTAATGTGCATTTATTTGAATTAAAAATTATCAAGAAAGTGTAGTAACCTACTAGAATGTTTACTAGTATTCCTTTTCTTGTGTAAGATTATTTAGCATGTTTTTCAAAACACTTTTATTTTTGACTTTTTAAAAAGTGAGTTGGTGGTCTTATATACTTTATCAGGTGGGATGAATCTTATGAAAACCAGGTTCATCTCTATTGTTAACAACGTCATCAAAGAAATTTATTTTTCTGCATGTTGGAGATTGATCTCTGTTATAATAAAGATGTAAGTTTTAAGTTAGCAGATAATATGTTTTCGACTCAGAAGAGTCAATTTGATGGAAATGGAATACATTTAATAGAGAAGTGGCAGAAAAGTTTTAACAAGAGCGTATAGTCTATTTCAGGATAAAAAGTTCTAACCATGAACATAAAATGAAAAACCCTGAATGAGCTACCACAATCCAGGATAGGAACTTAGAGTTATTGTAGTTTCCAAAGGATAGAGGCCTACTATCTTGTCAAGAAAGACATTAGAGCAAAACAAAAAATATTACTGTATCCTTTTGTAAACATGTGGTATGGTCATTCTTGAAATGTATGTGGATTAAATTTGTATTATTTCAAGAAAGGGTGACTATAAATGTTAAGGCGGGACTGATTTTTTAAAAAATAAGTAGACATACAGAAGGATATTGTTCCCTTCAAAATAATCATATTTTGAGGCACATATTTCAACCTGTCAGTGCTGAGAACATTTTTTAGAAAACATTTAGAGAGGTAGCATAGTGCAGTGGAAAGAATGCTAGACCTATAGTCCGAAGACCTGGGTTTTATACCCTTAGCTCTGTTCCTGCAGTAGCTCTTGTGATCTAGA